TAAGTTATCAGTAGATAACGGTTACTTGTATCACAAATACCATCACTGACCCGGGGTGGGGTTGGTAGGCGGGTGTATCTACATGTCTTGCACCACTAAATAATATATACCCACGTAATATGCAATACTATTTCAAACCGGCTACTAATGACGATATAGGTTAGAGACGTTGGCGCGCGTAATGCGAACGGTAGCGGGATCGCGGCCGACGACGGTCGCACAATACACTAAATAATGAAAACGTATAGTAGAAAACGGCCGTCTCTCAATAACAATAACGATAATAATAATATTATTATAAAAATATATAATTTATGTACTGCAGTTGGACTCACCTCGTGTCGCGGGGTGTATAAGCCGTCGGAACGGGCGTGCTGTGCGTATATCGCGTGGTGGTTGTTATACCTATATACCAACAAACGTAGTTTTCCACGGCGGATTTGATGGACGAAATGGCACTGAGTTACGCGCGTTTATTACGAGGGTACCCTTACGCGTCCTTCGCGCCGCCGCCGTCCGGTATTGACGCTTTGCCAATAAAGCGTATATTATGGTATATACCTACACGACTACCATGCAAGCGGTGTACCTATATAATACCATACAACAGGCCGGCCGCGTTGCAAAACAAACGCCGCCTCCACCTCCCGCCACCCCACCAAGGCCCAGCTCGGATTTCGCGCGAATGACCACTGCAGCTCTGCAGCAGACCACGACAACGACGGAGACGAATCATTATTTATTATTATTATTTACGATTCACATTTTCGTAGTTTCGTGCCATTGTCCACTCTAAATTAAAAAATATTGTTGTATTACAGTGGCACAAATAGATGGGGGGCTTGGGGGGAGCTTAGCCCCCTTAGTATCACTCAAAGCCTCTCAAAAAATAATAATATAATATATATTTAATAGTATAGTATATATTATATTAATATAAAGTTTAAAAAAAAATTTTTTGGAGCTTTGCCCTAACCCCCTAAACATTTTTCCTATTTACGCCTTAATGATTGTTTATGTAAGACTTTTCACTAACCGCATTAATAAGCACTTATAATAATACCACCTAGCCACACGTTGAAGTAATTTAATGTTTTCAACTATATTTGGAAAATTATATGATGGTAACGTGTTAACCAAACAGTTTTCTGACGTACATCACACCCTATCCGTGGTACTGATACTGACATGGGCGTTACTAGGATTTGATAGGTTTTTAGATTTTAATAGTCACCAAGCCAAGGTGGTGTTTTGGGGAGTTTAAACACCCTCTATCAGCCGTATTTACCTACTTGCAGAGGTGGACTGCAGATAGGATTCGGCCGAGTGGGAAAGTAGGATTATCAGCCCGATATTTCAATCACACTCATGGGCGTTCTCACAAGAAAATACTGCACGTGAATACTTGTGAAACTTATTCAATCTTGTATTAAAATTACAAATCTTAGATTTAAATAGAAAATTTTCTTTGAATTTCTAACTCAAAATAATTTGCACTCGTGAATTTTACGTATTTTGTCAATATTTGAACTTTAAATGCTTTTACCTTAGTAAACTGTATAATGTAAGTAGGTACGTGTAGAAATGCGTACATCCATTAAAAGTGGTAGGTATAGGTATACGGAAAAAAAACCAAAATTATAATATAATCAAAATTTTTGCGATTGTATTGTTGTTATTAAATAATATTAAAAAAAGAAAAATTAATTTATATAATGCAATACATTTAAAAAAATGGTTTTTTAAATTTATATTTTAAACTAAAAAAAACTAATTTCTAACCTCTAACTTAAGTTACCTACTATTTTCACCAAACTAACTTCTATCTAACTAAGTTAAACATTTGGTAAATTTCAGAAACTTACTTATATTCTAACTTAGTTACTTTTTATATTAAAGTAACTTAACTTTAACTAGTTGAAAAAAGTGACTAACTTGCCCAGCTTTGAAATTGAATAAAATAAATATATATTTAATTGTATAATATTTGAATATTATTTTTTATCCTGTATACAAATTTCTACCAGAAGGAGTGCTTTGATTTCAACGTATCATATCTTATCTTTTATAAAATTGGATCAAGATGGTACTTTAGAAAGGTAATTTTTCAAAATTCTAAAAATGGGATTTTCATTCCTAACGCTTTGCTTATCACCATAGAAACGAATAAAAATTTAAATTAAAATAACGATTTTAGTTACTTTGTTGTTCCTAATTTATAATATTATTTCAACTTACAGGCTATAATAAAATATAATAACAATATTAAATATCTTTGACTGACAAACCGTCTCAGCTCAGAATCATTTATTGTGTACAATGATATGATATCATTGAATTCAAATTTAATACAAACCATTATACAGTGACCCACTTGTAACGTGCTGTACAGCAGAGTGACATCCACTTACCCGCTTTTTTAGATTCTGGGCGGAGAGATGATTGTTATGATTTTACAATGTGTGTTTTTAGGGTTCCGTACGGTAAAACGGGACCCTATTACTAAGGCCGCTGTCCGTCCGTCTGTCACCAGGCTGTATCTCTTGAACCATGAAAGTTAGAAAGTTGAAATTTTCACAGATTATGTATTTCGGTTGCCGCTATAACAACAAATACTAAAAATCCTAGAATATATAATATAAGCAGTGTTGCCAACATGTTTATAGCTGATGATGGTACGGAACCCTTCGGCGCGAGCCGACTCGCACTTGGCAGGTTTTTTTTTATTATTTTATTTTTGTGTCTGTCATCATGGTTTGGGACAGTAAAATTGAGCCAATTTTCTTCAACAGTATCATGTTAGATGGAAAAGTGAATCTAGTTTGTGCATTCGGGAGGTCAAATTTAAAAATTCTCAATAGTTTTCAAAAGCGCCGGGAAAACAATACATATAAATTAAGGAAAAACGGGAATTTTTAAGCAAAATCGGTTTTTGGTGTAACTTTAAAACAAATGAAATATACATTAATTTTTCACTGGTTGTTTATATTTGCATTTTCTATACACGATAAAATTTTTAAAATATTTTGAATTGTTTAGAAGATAATGTATAGATAATGAGAGGAATATTGTCAGTTTCCAATTTTATTAGTCTTTTTTTCTATGGATGTCAATAAAACTTTATTTGTTGGGTAAAAAAGCTTGAAAATGTAATACAAGGCTCCTATTACATTGTTATAATGACATTTAAAATACCTTAAAAATCCTTCGTCACAGTTTTTTTTATAAGCATTTTAAGTTCAAATCTTGACAAAATACGGAAAAATCACGAAAATAAGCAAATTATTTTGAATTGAGAATTCATAAGAATTTTTCTTTTTAAATCTAAGATTTGAAAATGTAATACAAGATTATTCATAAGTTTGTCTATCTTTATCAAACAAAAATGTCTTCGAGCGAATCAAATTAAATTTTTATGAGCGTTTGAAGTTCATAATTATACAATATAGAATATAGATTTTCACTCGATTTTTCGTGTGGCGATTTTGTAATTTTATTATTATTCAAAAACGTGAATTTATTTTAGATTAACAAATCTCTGCAATATTTTCTTCTGAGCCTATGGATGGGATTTATGTTTTGAGTAGATCAGATTTGTGTTACTAATGGGTTAGTATGGGGGGTAGTTTGGAATAGAAAGATCTGTAATGTTTGGTGGATAATTATTGGTCAACTGACTCCATTGGTAGGTCAGAGTGTAGACAGTGTAGTGAAGAATTGGATACAAACCAAGGTGCAGACGTTATCATGCGGAGGGTAATGGACTGGAATGCTTGTATCGTGCACATTTGGGACGGCTAAGCACAGCCCCAAATTTGGATTCCATATGCCCATATTGGTTGCAAGAGATTTTTATTTTTATTTTATATTGATATAGTAATATTTAAGTATAAACGGAAAACGTCAAAATGTTTTAACTTGATGGATTTTTTTTAAATCAACTGAGAAAAGCTAAGTTATTTCAACTGTAAATTAAACTAGTAAAGTTCATAAGTTGATTAGATAATAAACTAACTAGTTAATTCCCACCTTTGAGTAGTACCTATAAATAATAATATTTATATAAATAAGTAGGTACCTACATAAATATGGTTCGCCAGTTTAATAAAATAAGTCATGGGGGGAACAACACCCAAATCCCCCCTTAATTACTTCACTGATCATTGATATTAGGAACTTACTACTTATAAACCTCAAGCACGAGTACCTCTTTATAGCCTCAGAATGTTTCCTGCCCGAGGTAATTTCCTCCTGGAGTTTCTCACTAAATACGCCATTGGGGCTGTGCCCACTCATAAGTGGATATATTATTACAGTGCGCCTATGAGCATGAGTTTAGTTATTTATTAATTTAGTCTATAGACCCTAATAGGACCTTCTAGATAATATATAACGATATATTATAGTCATGTACTCATGTGCAGTAACATGCATGTTTGGCGTTCGTACTGTTCGGTCAGTTTTCGAGGTGTAATGTGCACCAAAGATCACTTGTAGAAAAATACAACTAGTTACAAGTTATAACCATGTCATAATAACTAATAACAGTATTAAAATAATAAAATATACATACAACTATTAAATCTTAGCTCGGGTATATAAGATAGACCAAAAGAAAAATACTTTGTGTGTATTTAAATATATATTTGTAATAAACTTGATTCTTTTAAAATTGAAATACAGATGATTACACGTTTGTACTATATAGTATACTATATTGTAAGAATAATTTTTTATTAGTTGTTATACTATTTATTTTACGAAATTAAGTCTTACTGGCTTTAAAAGTAGATACCTACCTACTTTTAATTTGTACAATTACCATTTTTATTTTAATCAGTTATGTTTATATATTTATGCAATATAAAAATGACCAAGTTATTATTATTAATTATCATAAAGTAAAAATATTATTTACAAAAATATAAAATATTTTAAATTTAAAAATAATTTATGAATAATATTTGCTTTTATCTATACAGGATATTGGAATAGTAACTTTAAATTGTTGGACAAACACTTAATGCCACATCGCCATGCACCAACTGGGTTGGAAACTTCTTAAATATATTTTTTTCATGTAAATTATTGTGAACTATCTCAACATTCCGTATACATCCTAGGTATCCATTAGATTGACGATTGTTGTATATCGGATTACCACCGAGGTACAATGATTTGCTTGATTTAATGCTAGATGTTCCTCCTTTACCATACTGGTCTGGTGTCGCAAACATATTATCTACACCTAACTGTACAACATTTTTTAGCTTCAGAGCTGTAAAAAAAATGTAAAAAAATAAAAACAAATAAATAACAATAATAATAACAACTTATTGACTAACTACAAAATGTTATATACAAAATTTTAATTGATGTCAAAAATTTAATCAAAATCCTACATGCAATAAGAACATTTATACATCCATTAATATTTCAATGAATATAATAATATGATATATATGTTATTTAAATACTTGTAATACTTTATATTATATACTTTTATTCTAAACTAACCTTTAATTCTATGCCATAAGCCATCACATAAGTAGTAAGGAGATGTTGGAGTAAAGGAAGCAGAAATTGGACCTTTACCAGTATCCACAGAAAATGATATTGTTCCATTTTTCATTTCCAAAATTAAAAAGTTTTTCTTTACTGTTTGAACTGACAACAAAATTCCATCAACACTTCTTGGTTTTATATCCATTAAAATCTCAATTTCTGAACCAATAACGAATTTTTCCACTGAAATAAAATGTTTGTTAAATGTCAAACAAAATGTGTAAGAAACAAATTAACATTATTAATTTACATAGTCTGATGTAACCGCCATTTCCATAGAAAAATGCTCCTTCTTCAACTTTGTCTGAACATTTGGTTACACCATATTTATGACTAGGAGTTCCTAAATCTTTAGAGTTTACTTTAAAATTGCGCAAACAACCTTCAAATGTTACATTCATTCCCTGAAAGTAATTGTATACAAGTTATGTGTTTAATACATTTTTTTTAATAGGTATTGTAAGAAGCATGATTTTTTTAACATTATTTGTTATTTTAGGTTAAGAGAGTTATCATAGAATAAATAATTATTATATTTCATTTTAGTTTTAATTAAGTACTTTGTTCTTACTATAAATTCAATAACTTTTTGATAAGCTATTGGATTAGTGCCTCCAAAATAGAATGGGGAATTTGTGTTTTTACATTCTGACATACTACTGAATCCAACTGGTGTACCATCTACAGATAACTCAGCATTTGTATTAGACCTAGTCCAGTTAATAGAATGCCACTCTCCATCGTTAATTGGCCATTGAGCTTTGATTGTAGCTGGTTGAGAGTTACAGCTTAATTGATAGTTGACCTAAAATTTATAAATATTATTGATTAATACAATTTGTTGACACTATTTGTAATATAATATGGTAATATTACTTTTCCTTCAGTCAAATAAACAGCCATAAAGTCAGTTTCGTCGGAAAGGTGGGCAAAAAATATTATTCCATCTGTGCTAAAAGTTTTTACTTCTACTGAAATATCGTTTCTGTTATTTTTAGTTTTTATCATTATTGAATCATATTCGAACCGGCTTCCCACCTGATTTCCTGAAAATAATAATATTTATGAAGCATATAATTCAATATTATAATGAATACAATTAATTAAAATGATTTCTCAATGAGTTAACATACCAAATCTAAATCCACTATCTTTATTTAAATCAGTATCTAATTGTGGATTTAGTGATAGTGCGCATAATCCTACTGGGGGATAGGTTATTTCATCTGGGACAAGTGTAGGAGAAAGAGTAGTTTGTAGAAAAGGTGACAGGATACTCATATCTGCTTCATCCCTTAGGGGAGGTTTTTTTGGTTTCACTATAACAGAATTATTACAATTAAAAATTAACATTTATATGTTTTTATTTAATTATTTAAAGTTACTTGTATTATTGAACTCTGGTACACTAAATCCAGATTGTGATGTCTCCGTACATCTTCCTATTATAGCTCTAGGTGCATCAGTAAGCTGAGCAAAATTAATTATTTTCCCATTGAATGTAACATCACTAATACAACCAATAAACGAGTCGGACATTGAAGTTTCTGCATCAACTTCCGGCGGTACACCACCAAAGAAAAAGTCAGAGTATAAGAACCGCACTGGTGATGGACGTTTTTCAGATCTAAACAGTTCAGTTTTAACAGTTTAAATCTTAGAATATCTTAAAAATAATGATACATACTGGAAATTATCAAAATCATCAACACGTAGCAAAAGCTCTTCATTTGTGTGCGCAACAAATACATCATGCCATTGGTCATCATCGTATCGTGTAGACTGTGTGGAAGAAACACGAATTCCCCCACTTTCAAATATTAAGATTCCAGATTTTATACGCAATGAAAAAACAGACCCATCTTTACCATATACTAGTAAACCATTTGATTGAGTAGTTTTAAATCTTAATATTAATTCAATTAAATTATCTAATGCGACTAATTTTGGAGATCTGACATAGCCTCTACTGCCTGCCTTAAATGATACAAGGCTGGTAATCTGAAAATCCAACTCAATGTTATAAAATAAGTTTTAAATTAATATAATATTTTCATTTTACCTTTTCTGAACATCCAGAAATAATACCCTGGGCATCAACATTCTTGTTGAGATTTACTTGTACTGAAGTAATTTGTACATTGTCTAAACATCCATCATATTTTAACATTGATACTTCTTTAATTCCATGATCTTTTGGATAACCACCGATGTACAAATGTTCAGAAACCTACATAAATAATATTTAAAATTGTATTAAATTTAAATTAGCTATTCTTCTGTTTTTAAATATTTAATTTAAAATATGTATAGTAATACTTTAAAAGCTATAACACGGAGATCTTAATACAAGATCAATTTTTTATTTTCATTTGTAACCGCGGCAATTTTGGGTGGTTTTTAAACTGTGGGGGAGGGTATGTGTGGTTTTTGGCAGATTTTCAAGTGGGCACCCGTAGGTATCTGCCATGCCTGAGTAGGGGATGGCGGCACTTGTTCTCCAGACACCGTGACTTGCCCGAAGAAAAATGCCTCCAACGGCCGAGGTATCGAACCAGTGCCGGTGTGCGTCTCAACCGACACCTTAGAATGCTCGGCCACTCCGTCCCCCAAAATCAATTTAATTATAATAATAAATTATATCATAATATTTTATTTAATAGCTTTATATTATTCAAACATCGAAAATGTTAAAAATTGTGGTATAAAACTATTATACACATTACAATAAATGTAACTATATAATAAATTGTTATGCTTACCTGAAGATCTGTTCCTATTCCATTGCATACTCCGCTGTCTATGATTTCTCCATCAATTTTCAGTATAGATTGTTTACCATCTCTAGATGCCTCAATTGTATGCCATTTATCGTCATTATATGAAAGAGGAGAAATTATTGTTGTAGTATCGCCACCCAAATTTAGCTGTTTTAATTTAATAAATTTATTAGGTATTCATATTTTACATAGTTAATACAAAAATCTTACTCGAAAAACAATATTTCCTCCTTCCAGTTCAATAGACATAAAAGTATTGTCCTTAAATGCTAAAAATATTAGTCCGTCAGTAGATGTGGTTTTTATACTTAAAAGAATAGATGATTTAGATTTCAATTGGTAAGAAAGAGATTCTATAACAACATATCCTTCGCCATTCATTCGGATTCCAGAACTTGATGTGTTCATAAATTTATTCCTTAAAATAAAATAAATATTTGTGAGTTTTTATCTACAAAAAATTACAAATTTTGTAAATACCTTTCAATTGATCCACTATTTACACCTGAAGAATCTACAAAGTTCCAAAGGCCAACAAATGTATTTCCAAGCATTAGATCTTCAACACGACCTTCTAACGATTGATCTACTATGTCATTTTGGGCTTGGAATGTAGCAGGTAAACCTCCTACAAATAATTTTGAGTGATCTTTATCTAAATTTAAACTAGAAGAATTTCCGGGAAGAATTGTTTCTTTAGAATAAGTTGTTACATTAGAATTTGAGCCTTTTCCTACATCGTCGTGTACAACCAATTTCACTGTTTTACCAGTTCTACAAAAAAACAAGCACTTATATTGTTATATCAATTTGATTTAATTAGAAATAGTTGCATTAAATTACCTTTCAACAACGACTTTATACCATTTGTTATCGGAAACTATTTTATCACTAGAAAGTGTTGTAGTGCCAGAACCAATATCGATTAATAATACTAAATAACCATTATCAACTTGTAGTGCCATGAAATCATCCTATAAATTATTATTTTTTTTTTATTTTCATTTTTATTTCATTATACTTCATTAAATATTATAATATAATTACAGTTTTAAATCTTCTCATTCTTCGACTAGTACCAACTTCGTTTCCAAGATACATTATTAGACCTTTTGGCTGATCTGTCTTAATGTATATTGATGCAAGAGTGCTTATACTTTGTTGTGCTAGATTTTCAGGATTTCGAAGCTCAAGAGTTGAATTCTTGGATAAATTTACACCAACTTTAATTCTGAAAACATGAATTTTTATGGTAGCAAATTACAAAAATATAATAAAGTTATTTATGTTGAGAACTTACCTATTCACCATATTTCTGCTTGTAATAACTTTAGTTTGAAGTGATTTTACGGTAGACTTCAACTTTTCTATTGCCTTTTGAAGTTCTTCTGGTTTATTTTTCAGACGATTAATAGAATCAGTAGCATTTGGTAAAAGTGATAGTGCAGTATCCACTAAATTACAAAATTAACACATTTTATACTAAATACTGAATGTCATTATATTATTACCTAAACATTCTTACATTGCTTATTTGATTGTGTAACATCTTTAATAGCTTTATCAGTGTCTTTATTGAGCTGTTGGGCTGCAATAAGATGATTTGGTAATGATTGAACAACATTATCAAGACTATCAATTAATTTCCGAGACTTCTCATCGTTGGCCATAACAGTTTCCATGTTATTCTCTGGTTTTGGAGTTTCAGATACAATCTGTTCTAACTGTCTATTAAAAAAAACTTAGATTTAAAATTATTTCTAAAATAATAAATTATAGTTAATATTAACAATTAGGATTTAGGGCTTCAAAGTTGCAAAACCTAAAATGTTGTTTAAATGTTATTTAAAATGTTGTTTAAATATGAAATTAAATTTTTAAATTAATCAATATATTACAAGAAATTAATTTGTACCAGGTTTGGACGTCTGGTGGATCTGCTCTAAATTGGAAATATAAAAACCATGGGAATTGTGTAAAAAATTACTTACTTAAATATCTCATCAATTCTTTGGTCATATTGATTTTTTGAATTTGAAACTATTGAAGATTTATATTTAGCATCTTTTAATGATTCTTCTAAGCCTCCCTGTACTTGTTCTAAAGCCATTTTAACGCCCTGCAGTAATTTTGTTGAATTTTGGTCGGCTACAGCAACTCTTTCGTCAAGTCCTCTTGACTGAAATCATTGTTTAAATATATAAGCACATAAATAGTAAAAATAATTTTAGAATTTATTTTGGTCATAAAATTAAACACACAATATATACCTTATTAATGGTTTCTTCTGCTGCAGTACTTGCATTTTCAGCAGCATTTAACGATTTTTCTATTTCCGCTACTATATTCTTGTATGAATTAGCAGCTGCAATTGCTGTTTCAGATGCAGAGGTTGAATTTTTGACTAAAGACACCATCAAATCAGCCTTTGGTATAAAAGAAAATAATTATTTACATTGTAATAAACATATTAACACAATTATATCTTCCTATTTTTATAATAGATAATATTTTACTGTTAAATCACTTCAGATTTAATAGCTTAAAATCAGTGGTGTATATAAGGGGTATAAGGAGGGAAGATATTTGGAACATGCCTCTTCCCTTATAATTTCCCGTTCAGTTTAAATTACTGGAACCCTACTGTTTATCAATATTCTATATTTTTGAATAAATTCTGAAAATATTCCTCGTCAGTTACTCCAAAACACGGTTAAAGATATTTTTAACCATGCTCCACACCCACCAACTTGTTGAGAAATTTAGATAAGAACTTGACCTGAGCCATTCATATTACATATTAAAAAGGCTGGGGACTAACAGACCTTAAAAAACCTTAAAATATTATGCATTTATAATTTATATCTTAAAAAAATCTTCAAATATGCTTTAAATAAACCCGAAAACAATTTAAATTGACATTTCTGAAATACAAAATCATAATAATTAATGGCCTTTAATGTTTAATTAATATAAATAAAATAAGAAATTGTTTTATTTAATTATTTAATTATGCCAACATAAATCTAAAAAAATATATAATAAACAAAATATGTGCTTTGATATTCAATGTTAAATAAAAAATTTAAATTAACATTAACATACTTATTGGATAACTATTTGTCCAAATATATATAATGTATATTTAAAACAATGCCTATAATAGATGGTTATTAATTTATTACCTCTTATGTATCAATCTGTGAATTAGCCAAGGTAAAAATAAATTATATACACGTCAATACAGTTAGGGATGGCCTGAGAGAAAAATTCAGGCCTGGTAAATGTATTACCCAGGCCACATTTGTATGTCTACGTCAAAGGCATAAATATTTGGGTTTGGTGGAGGGCTGATCATATGTAAAACACCCCTTCCACCTTCAATATTTTTTATAATTATTTATTTATCTAATTTATTTATTTGTATTATATGTTATAGAACCACAAAAAAAAAACAGTACATAATTCAGTGTCAACATTTTAGTGTGACTGCCCATAAATATTTCAAATGCTTGGATACGCTTATCTATATTGTTTTTTCTATTAAAAAATGTTTAAACAAAGTTCAATTAACAATTTACTAAATGCAATTACAAGTAGGTAATACTCTAAAACCTACTATGCAGCTTGAAGATTTTATAAAAATTCATTATTTATACCTTTAATGGCCGGTGCGTTTCTAATACAAAAACATGTCTTACAGGAAAAACTCTCACCCTGCAGAATAGTTGGTTTCCGTTAGTTTTTATTTAATTTAAAGTAAGACTACATTTTGTAGATAGGATCAGTCTGATTTTCAAAATTATAATTATAGAAGTGCAAAATATTCATTTGAGTAATGAACAATATTTGTTATTTTTCAAACCCATCTTTCTAATATTATTTAAAGTAAAATAAAAATTCGGGCTTTGTTCGGACCGAAAAGTTTTTCAGATAAAAAAAAAATATAGTATGAAAAAAATTAGAGAGGGACCCACGCTCGTGTGCACGAAGTAGTCACATTCTCACGGACAATCAGAAGAAGCATAGGTACAGGTACACAATAAAAATAATAATGCGTTTATGCGTCCCAAAATATACCAATCTTAAATACCTAAGCAGTTATAGTTATTCGTAAAAATAATAATAGTAGGTAGTAGTAATAACTTTTGTATTAATGCTCGTTTGGTTAAATACATAATCACCTAGTGCTCACTGGTCACCAAGAAATCGTACAAAACTCCAACACAACTAGGTACCTACTATGCATATAATATAGCTTATCAAATTAGGATTTTCCTCTTGCAGTATTGCTTGTAAGTATTTTCTTTTAGTAAAAGGAACACTAATTATTTAAAATAATAATGTCATGCATCTGTCAGGCCAATAGCAAGTTCCAATAGCTCAGGACACCGGGAACTTCATGGTGTCCCAGGCCGTCCCTGAATACAGTGCTAAATACAGTAAAATGAAACTACCTGGTCCTTGAGTCTATCCGAATGTTCTTTTGCTGCATCCAGACCTCTTTTAACTTCTTCCAGTTTTCGTTGTTCTATTTCAATTGCAGATTCTACTCTAGATTTAGTGGCTTTCAATGATTCATTTTCTGCACCAATGTTTGCAAATGCATCCTTAGATTTTTTTATATCATCTAATGCCTCTTTCACTGTTTTCATCAAAATTTCCATACCATCATTTGCTACATCTTTTAATTTAGTCAATGAACTTATTCGATCATTTTCTTTTGTTAACGATTCTCTAAAATTAAATCAATATAAATTAGTACTCCAATTTAAACATTTTTTTTGTTACATTAAACAACTAATTATTTTCAACTAACCTGTTTGCGTCATTTATTGAACCAGTTTGCATTGCTTTATCTTTAGCAATACCTGTATAGTTTTTAATATCTACAATGTCATCATAAAACTTTATTTTTTTATTTTTTAAAGATTTTAATGATTGAGAAGGTGTTTCTAACGGTGATGCAAACAGTGCCATTTTTTCATGAATATCAATTGATTTATTAAGTAAAGTTTTTGACTCATTATATTTATTTGTCATGTCTGGAAGCGATTTTTTTATATCTTCCAACAACATTTGTGCTTCATTTAATGCTGTATCGATTTGTGGCCCCGCACCGTCTTGAAGGCTTTGCGCCAAATTAGTTACTTCAAAAACAGCTTTAGAAGATTGTGATACTGCTTCATCCATAGCTAAACTCATTTCTACTGCGATATTATTTGTTATATCACCTTTTGATGCTAATACTAAAGCATCTGATAAAGCTGACTTGGACTAAACAATAAAATTGTTTGTATAAAATAATTAATATTGTAATTTGTATTATTGAATAAAAAAAAAATACCTTTCTATTTATATGTGTTATCTCTTTCTGGAAATCCGTCAAGTTTTTTGTTAGTGGGAAATTGGTCAGTACTACTTGATATAAGGTTAGTTAAATTCGGTTTCAATTTTGATACTGTATCATTTAAATATAATAGACGTTGAGCGGTGAAATATCCATTTTCCACATTCTAGAAAAACCGTAAGATTGAATTATTAACATTAGTTCTTAAAAAAAAAAATTGTATTAGATTCTCATTCGTACTTTAAATTCATTGGAGACAGAGTATAGTTTAATAAATAAACTATCTGTTACATTTAAAAGAGAATGTGTACAAGTATCACATTCAAAACAACCAACTCCTGTCATTTGATCCATATTTGGCTCTGGCTGTATTAATACCCAATGGTGAGGACAATGGTCACATTTATCTCCAATTACACCAGGTAAACATTCACACTGACCTGTTCGAGGATTGCAACTAACACCAACACTGTATTCTGATTTGCAACCACATGCTGTAAATATAATATAATATAATATGAGTTATTCAACTAGGTAATTAACTTGGTTAAAAAAATAGGTTTTATTACATATGCATCCTTCTTCAGTATAATTCCAATATCCATGTTTACATCGATCACAAGTTTCTACCAGCAACACCAGGGTTACATCTACACAATCCTGTGTTCTCATCACACTGAAGAACTTTCACTAGCTAAAGCACACTCACATGCCTTACCACCCATATATGCAATTGAGAAAAAAAAATTTTATTATTATGTTCTCAAATTATTATACTGATAAAATAAATTTACTATTCAGATTTTAAAGCTAGGTATTTCTTTTTTTTTAATATTAAATGATCATATTATACATAATATATAATAATGATGCATTCCCATTTTTCTGGGCTAGACTTACAAGAAAAACTGAACACATATTTTTTCTCACCATGTATTATTATATAATTGGATTCAGGAACTATATTACATTCATAGAGAATTCTAATGTTATATTTCCTTAATAGGGAATCTAATCCATATAATCAGTAATTATTACCTACAATTGATTTTATTTCAAATATAGGTGATTTTTTATTCAACTTTATTAATGATGTGTAGTGTTAATTACATACTTTATCGATTACAACGAATACTACATATTAAATACTTGGTAATCAAACTAAATTTGTTGTATAATTAATTATATTTAATAATGTAAAAGTTTACCTTACAAGTTTCGAAACCATAATGATTTACAGCACATCTATCACATTTTTCACCTTCTACATTTTGATGACAGACACATAGACCATTATAATTATCACATTTTTCCATTCCACATTTATCACAATCACATGCTTGACAATCCTTCAAATTCACAGCGTCTCCAAAATACCCTGGCCTACAGTATTGACATGATTCACCGAACGTACTGTTTAAACAACGTGTGCATTTTCCAGTAATCGAGTCACATGCTCCTGGATCTTCTTTGTTTATATTACCAGAACATTGACATTCCTTACATACTTCTCCTGTAAATATTAATTAATTAATAATTGGTTGAATTTGCTATATGAACATTGAATAATAAATAAACTTAAATAAAAATTGGAATCCCATTTAGGAATTACAATGCCATTAAAAAGCTCATTTTATTTTTTAAAAAGAAATTCAATCATATTATGTAATAAAACTTGGTAATATTATTGTGTTCAATAAGTCTAGATTATTGACTATTAATTATAAGCTTATTATTTTTGGAAATTTTAAATTAGTATACATTTTCAGTGGTGGAGCATTGACATTTTGCCTCTAATAAAAGTATTGTTTATATACGAAAACTGTAAGGTTTAATTTGTACTTACCCCCCTCCCCCCATCCTGACAACTCCACTGTACATTTTATATTTAAATAATATTATAAACATATTTTTTCTTTTGTTCTATGCTAATGTTTTAGAAATTTAAGTATACTTAGGGACAATGATGACTCAGAAACTACTTTTTAAAATGATGATTTTTTTTAAGGAGGTTAATTTAAATTTATTTTAAATATAACTTTTGGGAGTTTCACACATTATCTGTAGCATTCATCAAATTAATAATAATATGAAATAAAACCATATGACAATACATTTTTTTTTATATATTTGAGGGATTTAGTAAATACATTTTTTGCATAAATAATAAATATGGAATTGGAGTGGGGGGGAAGTCAACAACAAAATACCCCCCTGGACTTCTCTACCGGTAGTTATTTTGAATAAATAATTTAAACTTTGAAAATAAGTGTATACCTGGCGTTTCAGGACTACCATAAAAACCAGCATTGCAAGACTCACATCGTGCTCCAAAATAACCAGGTATGCAGTCACAGCTGATTTTATTACCATCTGGGCTAACTTCGCAACCTGTTGCAAAACTAAAAATAAAATATATATATTATTTATCAAAGTAATTTATTTTACCTTACAACTATATATATAGTAATATATTAGAGACCATATAAATTATTCATTGTCTTACTTGTTTGAGGCTATTGGCAGTGGACAAGCACAACAAGACAGTCGTAAGGAGTACCAATCGATGCATTTCCATGGTAACCTATGATACATTTTTCACAATGGTCACCTGTAGTACTATGTTTGCCATCTAAAGCCCTAAATAAACAAAAATATCACAGCATTAAATGAATGAACCAATCATTAATAATTGAATTGCTTATCTATAGTAATGATTTTATCCCATAAAAAATATAAATAAACAATTCAAAACTTATTAAACTATCTTACTAAAGCAATATTTATAATTTTTACTATAACAGTATGGGTTATGATTCTCTGATGATTTATTTTTGAAGAAATAAGATACATGGGATATATAATGAGATATTTCATACAAATTGAATATTAATTATGATAGAAGTTTGAAATATTCTTAATAAGATTACATTGCATATTCCAGTAGCCTTGTCACAAGTATTGGAATGCCCATTACACTGACAAGGGACACAAAAGCCTCCATAAGGACCGGTTTGTGCTCTATAAAAAAACCTCGGCACATTCTTCACATGATAATCCAACGTAATTGGCAGGACACTGACATTGCTCTACAGACAAAGCTATTTCTTTTGATTGGATATATTCTTCTTGTGCAGTTTCTAATGATATACTTGATATCCTGAAAAACGTTATTGTATTGCATTACATATTAAGATGGGTATTAAAATGATTTAGATTTTTAATGCAGATATAGTGTATTAGTGATATAGTGTAACAAAAATTAATATGAAAATGTTTGAATAGGTACCTAGTTGTCACTGTCGGTTCCCAATAAGTAGCTCGGATGTAAATACCATCCAAGTTCTGTAAAACCTGCATTATTTGTTCTCTAGTGGTCTGTAATCCCTTAGCTAGTATGAATTTTGTTCTACAATTTCAACAAAATTTGGGAACAAGGTACTTGATGCTGGTTGTTCCAATGAAAAATAAAACAAATAAGTATCGTGGCCATATAAAATAACATCGGGACCACCAACAGCACTTCCAAAAAGGTTTGATGTATACTGAATGGAATAATTTAAAAATCCTCCATATGATTTAATTTGATTTCCTAAGTATTTTTTTGGAGCAAAGAAATATGTAATTTTTTCTTGAAGCTTTCTAGGCGTTAAATCAACTCCAAGTTCATTATCCTCTATTTTCTCTAGCATAAATTCTACATCTTCAATATAATTGGTTAGTTTACATTGACAATTTTTAACAACCAATTTTCCATATCGTTTATCTAAAACAAATAATAATATATATAATATTTTTAAAACACAGTACTATTTTTAAAAATACCTCTGTTCTGTAAAGATTGGAGCTTTGACACCGAGTAGTCTTACCAAAGCAGAAACATTTTGAACATCCTTCATCATTCTTTTCTTGTATATTAAATGTCCCTTCTTTGCATAAATCACATGCTTGGCCATAAACATTTGATTTACAAAAACATCGGAGTTGTTCTAATAAATTTTAATAAATAAGTAATAAATAAAATAAAAACCAATATAATGTACTATAACATTTAAATGTATAAAAGACAAACAAACCTGATTACAAATTTCAGACGTTGTGCCTCTGTAGTCACAATTACACAATAACAACGAGGAAAGACCAATGCCCAGAACGGCAATGATCACAAGAACGACCAACAAATGTTTTGCTTGCACCTAATTTCAAAATATAGAATATATAAATCAAACATAATTAATAATTATCATACCTATTATAAATGTTTGAGTTTATCTTAATAATAAATAATTGTAATAATAACCCAGAAATTGAAATTTGAAGAATTAAAAAATATTATTAACAAAAAATAAATAAATACTTGGAAATAATATAGTAATTACTCGCAAGATCCATTGAACAAGTCACATTGACGATTTTTATCTTCCACGCCAAAAAAGTTACAGTTGCACTCTTCGCACCCAATTATTGGATCAAAGCCATATGTCATTGGTTCACATTGATCACAGTTTTTTCCAACTACACGTGGTGGACAAATACATTCTCCTGATGAAGTCTCGCATGTAGCGACTGATGGACAGTTACATGATTTACAATCAGGAAATCCAAAATATCCCGTCTTGCAAACTTCACATCGTCTACCGATTACATTAGGTTTACACTGACATTGACCACCATAAGGATCACATACATAGCTTAATGAACCATCAGAGTTACAATTACAAGGTAGTGCTCCACTATTATATGCAGTTGTTAATGAAAATGTGGCTTCTTTACAAAAACCTAAAATAAATGTCCATAATTTATAAGTACATAGAAAAATTATAATTTGAAGTAAGAAGGAGAACTCTTCATATTTATTACTTAAGTATCAATTAATTTAAAATACATAATATACAGAGTGTAACAGGAAGACCTAACAGATAAAATATCTTTTGTTCCAATCGATATTTAAAATTTTTTTTATATATAATTTATAGTCACTTGTGTTACATAAAAATCATTTTTATATTTAATGCTAAAAATATAAATTGAAAATTTGATTTAAATTTGTTTGGATAAATTCAAAATAGCCAATTTGTGAATTTGATTATAAGAACAATTTTAATGGTAAAATCATTTATCTAAGTCAGGTAGTTTATTTTTTAGAATTTTTTAAAATATCAGTATTTTTTGATTAAATCAATTTGAAACATAATAACTTTTTTCAAAATATTATTTTTGGGAATTTGCTGACATAAGTATATTTCTTTAGAGGGTACCCACACTGGTGGGCCTCCCTCCTCAAGCCATTCATGTTATTATTGTTTCTTTCATTACCTAATTTACTTATTGTATATATAAAAATAACAGATTGTCAATATTCTATTTATCTAATAAAAAAAAAAAGTATATTTCTTCACGGGGTGCCACCATTACATGACTTCCCCCTCCTGTTAATCATCCCCATCACCATCACATTTACTTATTGTAATATATTATATAATTATAGATTGTAAATAAAATATTTGTTCAATAAAAAAAAAAAAAAAATTATATTTCTTAAATTATTTACTAATCATATACTTTTAAAAATGTTTGTCTTTTGTTTAAGTAGCATAATTTTTTTTTTGCCAGGTCTTCTTGTTACACCCTATATAATAACGCAGTACACTGACTACCTATTTAAAAGTTTAATATAAATTAAAATCTAAAGACCTGTACACGCTATACAAAAATAATAATATGTGTAAACAAGATAAGGACTGAGGATCAGTTAGAAACATTACAACAAATAGAGCCAAAAACACTTAAATTTGTTAATAATTGATTGAAATGTGGGTTTTTTTTAAAAAATATTTTTTGTACATAATCATTTTAACAAATAAACAAATGTATTTAAAATATTACCTGTAGTAGAAGTGTTGATATAAAAATGATTGCTTCCACAATTTGCTATGAATAAGCCAGTATAGTCAAACGGCTGTTCTACTGTAATAGAATCACTATATTCCTGAGCTGGGACAACCAAAACATACTCTAACCAAACACTTTTATGATTTGGCTCCTAAAATTATATGAAAATCATGTAAAATAATTATTATAATTTCAATCATTCATAATTTTTTTCAACAAAGTACATTTTTTTTGAATTAAAGTATATATTTTTATTTATTTAAATTGATACAATATATTTGATTTAATAAGTAACCACATAAAACTAATTAATTACCTTTCAAACAACTTTATGAAATTAGATTATTAACTCACTAACTTATTTTGTAAAATAAATTTGAAACAAATAATTACCTTTAAACTTAGTAAAAAGTTTTCTGTCAGTTGAAAATTTATGTTTCCATTAGCTTGTTTTACTACAGAACGACATCCCGAGTTTGATGGACAATGTTTTATAGGCAAAACTGCTTCGTATGTTTGACCATTATGTATTAATGCATTCATTTCAAAAGCTATATAACATAAAACCAAGTTATTATGTTATTTTAAGTATTTTAATATTGTTGTAATGGCAGTTTATGTGTTATGTAACAGTAAATTACCTGGAAAATCAGGTTGATAAAATTGAACAATAAAAACATAAGCTCCTGGAGCAGGAACTTTTCCAGCCAAATCTACAATACTGTCTTTGTGATCAAGGATGATCAATGCTGTGGTGTTGTCAAATATATCTTTAGGTGCAGTTGTGGAGAGACGAGCCTCATTTCCGGTTTTAAATTCCACTTTTTTTGTGTCAGGAGGAGTAGGGTAGAAGGACTGAATACATTTACCATCTTTCTTTACACATGAAGGATTTGGGTTTATATAGTCTAAAGACCATTTATCTAATGGTAAAGCAACTATTGATTCTATTCCAACTTTTGAATGATCTTTTCCTCCTTTTAGTATTACTTTGGTAACTGGTTTATTTATATCAAATAAAGCCACTTTTCCGGTAGCATCCACTGCAGCTTGCCTGCATAGTGTAGTATGATGACATGCGTATAATATTGCTTTACCAGAATTCATCTTTTCATCCACTTCAATTTCAATAACTGCCTTTGTTTGAATAGAAGATGGTGTCATGTAATTAATTAAGATAACATAAGGCCCAGGATTAACAATTGCTAATTCTAGTTCTAGTTCTGGCTGTGTTTCACTAATGACTGGTAATTTTGGGACACCTAATATGTCCAATTGCTAAAAAAACAAAAATATAATTATTTTTTCACGGTTGAAGCATATTTTTTTTTTTTTACTTTTAAATTGTCAACGAAATCAATTGGTTCTTTGCCATCTAAAGTTAATGCAGTTGTGCTCTTGACTTGATCAAATTTAGAAGTACTTGGATAGTCAAAATGTCTGCATAGACCAACTTCGATGTTATCAATAACACAAGGATTCAATACTTTGTCGACCAGTATATCTCCTTCGTAGTACTCAGCAGGCAAAATCACAAAGTAATCCTACAAATATATTATATATTACTCATTTTGAGTCACTTAGTATTTTATTTCACCTATAAAAATACAAAAGTATTTTTTTTGTCATACCAATAACTCCATCTGTTTATTATGTATTGTGGGGAAATTTATATATCATTGAAAAGGAATAGTAAGGTAGATTTTCACAAACCTTTTTTTTTTATAAATAGGTATGATTATGATATCATGTTAAGGTACGTAAAATACGAAAATAGGACTACACCAGTGGTGTTATCTGTCCAGTAAAATAACATTTTTACCGGATGAAATTAGGTAATACAAAATATAAAAAACAGCGACCTAACCAATTTATAAAATAAAAGAAAATAATAGTTAACTTTTGTTTGTTATTCAAAAGTAGGTATACCAAAAGGTAATGTCCTAATGTTTGTAGCTTAAACACTCACAATAACATTTATTTGTATATACACTTAAAATACGAAATACCTGTTTTTCCCTAAATGTTCATAAAAATAAAAGAAACATCGTCAATGATGTCGATAATGAATTTGTGAAATTGTGATGAATTTACAATTAAACCGGTTTTTAATTTTATGGTTAAATTTCGACCAATGGAGAATATTTGTATCATTAATTATAAGCTCTAAAACTAACCACAAACAAATTCTGTTCGATTTTTATAGTAACGGCCCATCGTCCAGGATTCATCACAAAGGGTGATGGAATATTTCCAGTAGCTCCAGATACTGTCACAAAGGTTGGAGTTTTTGTAGGTTTTAGTTGTACCTTCAAATAAAATTATCTATTAATAAATTGTTAATTTGTAAATAATAAATATATATATAATTTATTTACCATGAACTTTTGTTCGATATTGATGTTATTTGGTGTTTCAGGTGTTATAGATATTAAGCCCAATATGGTTTCATTATTTAGATTTACATATCTCAATACTATTCGATAAATTGATGGTTTCTCTATATTAAGTTCTTGTACAATTTCACTCTATTTCAAAAAACAATTACAAAAAAACTAATATTTACAAAGACCAGTTAAGTTATTTACCTGAAGTTGAGAGAAAACAGCATACCCTTTCCAAGAATAATCTGGAAAGAATTTTTCATCAAACCCATATCTGACTGGAGTATATGCTGGGGTTCTACCATCTTCCGCTTCATACAAAAGTTGATGTAAAGTTGGGAAATAATGTGCTTGCATTGGTTCAGTACAAGCTCTTCCGACAATTCTGGGTTGACACAAACATTGTCCACTATTCTTATCACATTTTTCATTTATTGAGCCGCCAACATTACAACCACATTCTAAATAAAAATGTTTTGTTTTAATATGTATCCAATTTTTAAATACTAAAACAATGAAAAATACCTGTACATCCAAATAAACTATTTTCATTTAAACTATAAAATCCTTCTGAACATTCATCACATCTTCTAGAAGTAGCAGATGGTTTGCAAACACATTGACCAGATTTTGGATTGCAAACACCTACACCACTAAGTACACCAGGCATGAAACAATCACATTCTGAAATAAAATATTAGAAACTTTATATTACAGCTGCATATAATATAATTATTTAATTATACCTTGACATCCGTCTGGATTTGTGGGTTGTAAGTTCCAAAAAAGTTCTCGACACTCATCGCATATTCTACCATTGACTCTGGGTTTACATTGGCATAATTCACCCAGTGGCAATGATCCACATCCAACAAACGTTGATAGAACACCAGCAGGATTACAATTACACTCTGTAAAAAACATATATTTCCAAAATAAATATTTCAAGTTAAAAAATGTATTAGGTATGGCTTAATTAATATTTTACCTTCACATATTGGGAAATTGTATAAACCTTCCTTACATTTATCACACCTAGTTCCCATGAAATTTGGTTTACACTTGCATTTACCATCATTATCACATGATACTCCTATCGATCCTTGACTATCACAATCACAGACTGAAATAAATATGAAGGTATACATTTTAATTGAAATCGAAAATGATGTAATTTGAATTTATGATATAAACGCTTTTACATTTGCATTCAGGATATTGATAGTATCCTGGACTACATTGTTCACATGTTCTCCCAGCAAAACTAGGTAAACAAGGACATTTTCCTGAGGCATCACAAATGGATGTTGCACTTCCCCGTTCTGAACAACCACACGGCTTACAGTCTGGATATCCATTATAACTATGTAAGCACTTGTCACATCTAGGACCAGCATATCCCTCTTTACACATACACTGACCGTTAGTTTTATTACATACTTCTGGTAATGAGCCAATTAAATCACAATTGCAATCTGTAAAAAAAAAAATGAATAATATGCTAGTATTATATTATGTTAAAATAATAATAATTACAAGAGCACGTGGGGAATCCATAATAACCGTGGTTACATTGATCACATGAAAGATTTCCGTAACTGCTATGACACAAACACTGACCAGTCTTTTGGTCACATATCGAATTTCTTGACCCAATTTCGTTGCATTCGCAAGCTGTGTAAATTGTCAAATGAGAACAATTTTTTATTAAGTATAGGTACATTTTTTCAAATTAATTTTCTCGTATTTAAGTATATAAATATATCTTTACATTTGCATTGCGGGAAGTTATAAAAGCCATCGGCACATTGATAACAAAATTTCCCACCGAAATTTTGTTTGCAGGGACATTGCCCGCCTGTATTTTCACATTGTCTTCCTCTTGTTCCATCCAAGAAGCATTCACAAGGCTTGCAATCCGGATATCCGTAATATCCCTCACTACATCGGTCACAATCTGGGGCAGCATAAGCGGCCTTACATTCACACTTACCAAAACCTTCCGAACAATTTCCGGTCGAATAAAAGTGGTCACAATTACAAGCTAAAAATTAAAAAGTATCATAGGAATTAATAATTAAGTAAAATTAACCATAATAATTATAAACAACTTACGTTGACACACGTCCGTTTCATTCAACAACTTTCCAACGGGTCTGTAAAAACCGAAAACGCATTTATCACAGTTGATACCTGTTGTATGATCTCGGCAATTTTGACACACGCCACCTCCTTCGTATTTCCCGTGAATATCAATCGACAGATGTGACGTGTCTGTTGCGTTGTCGTAAACACAACTCTCAGAATGACCAAAACAATTGCATGCTAACATGAAATTAATCAGTTGATGAGTTATTATGCGTTATTTATAAACTTAAGTTGTCTCAATTTTTTATAACTTATTATCTTACGTTCACACTCGAATAGTTTATCGTATTTAGACTGACTCCATGCTTTCTGTTCAAAACCTGGACAGCATCTTTCGCAATTGTGGCCACAGGTGTTATGTTGACAACGACATATGAGCTTATATGAATCTGTGGGATCAGTTATGTCACAGAGATCTGCGTGACCATTGCAACGACATCTACCACCAATACTCACGTCTTTTATCGAGTAAAAGTACTATAAACAAGATAAACACTCGCAAATGAATTAAACAAATAAAAAATTAACCTTAAAATTGTTTACTTACTCGTCTAGTGGTTGTGGGGTCTTGTCTGGCCACAGACATGAGATGACCAAGCAGATTTTTTACTCTAAGTAATCTAAATCGTACGTTAGTAGCTCTGGTAAACTCTTGTAATGCGTAAGAATTAAAAAAGTTGTTTGCTGAAGGTCTATTAGACAAAAGTTTCACAAATATCTGTAAACAGGTAATTCATACGTTGTTGAATAATAATAATAATTATTTATTTATGTGTATATATGGTACCTATATATCTTAATGTGTTAATCGTAAATTATAGGTAATATATAGTTACTTAAGAACAAAAGTAATCCTGTAAGTTAACAGAAATATCTAAAATGTCTAAACATGGTGATACCTATTCTATTTCGACATTTCGTAGAGATATAGGTAAGTACAATTAAAAATATATATATTATTAATAATTATAATTTTCACCCATCTTTCCAATACACCAAAAGTTTCTTATTACCTATACCTATTTGTGTTAGAATCAGCAATTTGATTTTAATTAATTTTATTTTTAAACCAGTAGTATAGGTACATTATGAATAGTGAATACTTACTTCACCATTTTCTAATGGCACAATTTTTGAAACCGATGTGTCACAAATAACCGAATCATCGGACGAAATGGGTTTGATGCTTTCCTTTCCAAAATATGATTCACAGTCTCTAAAAATATAGATACCGATAAATATTCAATTTCTGTAATAACCAACAAACTATATTATAGGTACTTACGCAACAGTGTCAGCAAAATATTGCCACGGAAGGTATGTTTGTCCGTGATCTGCTGATCTTTCAAGTACCCAAACACCCGGCCTAGGTGAGTTACCCATTTTAACAACAACATAAGCGACATGAAATTCCTAAAAAATTATTTTAAATATGTAGTACAAAACTACAATAATTATATTATACATATTATATTTTAATTGTTTAATACATTTACAAATTAAAATTACTTTGGTTTGGACGTTTGTCAAAGACATAATTAAATCGTATCAATATAATACTAAACTTTAATATTTTATATACACTTAATAAAATTCATATATAGTGTTGTATTAAAATGATTTTCAAATTTGTATATTCGTATTTGAATATTGAGTATTATTATTATAATACACATTAATCCGTAGATATAAATGTTTGATTATAAATTACATATAATCAGGAGTGCATTAGGTACCCACATCTATTTAAATTGTAAATGTATTTATAAACATAAATATTAATTATAACATATTAGTTTACAGTATCAGTTGCAGTTAATAATATATATTCTTTAAATCAAATTTAATTAGAAATAACATAAAATATTATCACTATGTATATAATCTCAAATTGTATATTGTAATCCATTATTTAGTTCATTAATACATTGGTATTATGTAGTTGTTCAATGAGCTTAAATAGTTGGCATTCATAAAAATATTATCTATTTGCTAGTATATTAATCGTCCGGCGGAAGTGATTTTGATAATAAAAAAAAGCATATCATAAATGCTAGATATAAAACATAATTTCGTTGTAATATAAATATTTTTTATTTCATTATAAACTCATACATCAAGCCGCTGCAATACAGCATTATCATTAAGAATTAGCTTATGAAGCTTAAATTTGTTTTACTAAGATTCTTATTTAATATTTTAATATTGGAAAATATATTCATTAAGTAGCCGGCATTATATTATTAATAAATTATCAAATACTCGAACTATTATAAGTCTAATGCATAAAGAAATTATTGTCGTGGTGTTCCAAAAAAGTAATATTCAAACTGAACGAAATCAACTTATCGGGCATGTAGGTCGTACTTATCTGGTTCCTGGGATATTGAACCGCACGAACGTGGCAATAGTGTGATAACCACGGATGACCTTTTATGCTTGCACATATTATTATTAGTATACCTGGACATTCGATTAATAGGCTTTAAATTTTGCTCTCGGGCAAATTAGAAAATATTCACGACCTTGTTTTTTAATTTTATTACAACGGCATAACTTTATCTACCTACTTCCTAAGAAATCGTTATATAAAAGTTCGAAATGTCAAAAACTATGCATATTTTACGGCCTTGTTCATCAAAGTATATAACAATATATGTATAGGCAACACCGAGTTAATAACTATAATAATAATCACTTATAAATTATTATGTTTGAACAAAATAATAAAAAACACATTGATAATCTGATAATCTAATATTTCCTAAGAGTGCCTTATAGCCAGACATTTTTTTTGAGGGAGGGCACTTTATTTTGTTCTTTAGTTTTTGTATAGAACTAGAATACTTTTCACCTGTTACTTTATAACAACATTGTTCATAAAAAAAATTTCGGGTTACGGCACTGACTTCTAAGTTCTAATACCTAATTCTGAAGTAATATAATATATTTTTCTAAATTTATTAGTTTAGACTCATCATTACTTCTTAGCTTTGTTTTATTTTTCGTGCAATCATATAGAATTGTACGTTATTTAATAGATATGTAATGGTTTTATTTGTATCAATCAATAATACATATTTTGTGAAACAGTATAACTCAACATGAAGTTGCTATTAGACATAAGTTAACATTAAAATAAATAAATATCTATTTATTTGTTCACTTATTTATAAACATACCTGGCCTAAATCGATTGTTAAGTTGATCTCGTTATACTTCATTCCTCTAGATAAAGGTGGACTCTGCCACCATGTTTCTTGTCCATCGACTGCATATTCTGGCGGATGAGATTTGTCTGGACGACTATCGTCACAATGATCGCATACCTAGAACGTTAATGCATATAAAAACAAAAAATAAAATAAATTATTTACTTAAAAAAAAAAAAATTGTCGCAAGTCAAAAGCTCAAACTTTATTAGGATGATCAGTTTAATAAAAAACTTAAAGAATTAATATAGGTATTACATAATGAAAAAGATTTTTGACTAAAACGATATTATTAAAAATAGGTTTTAATGTTTTGTTTTTTTAACTAAATATATTATATAATTTAAAAATTACATTACTACAATATCATTAGTAGGTAGGTATATACTAGTACTATATCATATTTACTTTATTTATTTTTTTTTAATTAGTAAAATTTACCTATTGATTTTGTCTAAAATATAAAACAAACCAACGTAACTTTAAAACTAAGATGTATATTTTACAAATGCATGTACTCAGAAAATAAAATACGATTACAAAGACTAAATGCTAAGAGAAAAACAATTATATTTTATTTATTAACTATTTTTTTTCACGTTATTTCCCCGGGAGAAGTTAATAGTATACTAAAATTAAAATATAATTGTTAATTTATAACTCGTGTCAAACATTACAATTTGTATTTATAATTTAAACTGTATCCATTTGCTTGACACGAAACGCAAATCCGACATGTTAAAATATTTAATACCCAAAAATATATTTTATTAAAATTAAACCTTATTCGGAAGTTGATGATTCTTAACCTTTCTTTATAATAGATGTACTTAAATAATTAAGCAAAACCAATGCAAATATATTTTTTTTTAAATCTAAACTTATTTAGTAACCTATGTTCTCTAGATGTATTATATAATCAATTTATTTATTTGTCGATAGGCATATATACATAACCTAATTTGTATAATATCATTGGAAATATTTTAAGATATATATTTGAATCTAATATGTTTTAACGAGAACAATGTTTATTAGTAATTTAGTGTTAGTCGAGTAAATTGATTTTCAACAAAGTAAATACGTTTTTGAAATATTTGACATGATCATCATCGTCGTCAGTAGGTACCTATATTTTAAATACAGTTTTATTTTTGAGTTAATTTTAATAGGCACTTTTAATATTTATCCAGTGGAACTAAAACATTAGGCACACAATAAACAAAAGTTTACCGGTGATTAACAGAAGTAATGGATAAAATAACTATAGTTAGGTTAGGTTAGGTTTTATAAAATGTTTTATACGATTAATGATTAAGCAATAATAATTAACAAGTAAAATATATATGCGTATCAAGTATTAACGCCCATTGGGATGCAACTAAAAAATCAAACTTGAACAAAATTCAAACTTTCCAAACAATTGCACCCTTCCGCTAACTGCCATTTTTCCCAAATATAACGCTTTTCGCTTCCAAACGATTTTGCTTTAAAAAAATTGATGATGAAGCACGTATACTATACACGTGTTTCCATATTAGATGACTTTAAAATAATGCTATTTCCATACGAAATGCAATCTTCTATCAACACTAAGATTTCAAATGAAGTGGTGTTGTGACCTGTAGCTAATCTAATTATATATTTAAAACAGAAATTAACTTAAAAGTGTATAAGTATATTTATTGAAATGTTCAACGTCAAAAAAAAAAAATCAGAAAAAAACAAGTTTATTGTAGTTAATGATGGCTCCTTAAGAAACTCTTTCATGTCTGTATCATACTATTAACTCGTTCAATTATGATGCATTTCATTATGTAGATTATTTGTTTCAAATAAAATTGTATTAAAAAAATCAAATACCCAATATGTAATTAAAAGTAAAAAAAGTAACACGAATAAATCAAAAGTAATTGTGTTTTTTTATATTAAAGTAAATCGTAGGTAGTGTATTAAAATAAACTCTAGGTTCATACCCTGATTATGCACTTGAGGATACCTTCATAGGGCCTAAGTTATTTGTTGAAAATACAAATATTAATCTTTTTCGACAAAATTTAAATATTAATGTATTTACATTTACAGTTTATACTGTATCATTTAGAATACATTTTATCAACAGTGATATTATTTATTTATTTTTGGCTTGACAAAACAAGTAAATTAATATTTTCCATTAAAAAAAAATAAAAATATATATATTTGCATATGAATAATTAGTATAATAGTATGGTACATGAATATAAGTAAATATAAGCACAATTCCATGGATAGGTATTTATAATGAACGAACGTTCATGACTATAAATTAAAAGAAAAAATTTTAAAATAGGTCATTTCCTAATTTAGTTAATATCGATTGTATTTGAATAAATAAAGTAAATAATAAAAAGTTAAACCTTATATCTTAACGAGGGTATCAAAAATTACAATTTTAATATTTTATAATAAATTATAGGTATTTGTATAGTGATATTATTTGAAAATGTATCTATGTAATCAATCATGATTTTTAGGTAGGTACCTACAAGCAGTAAAGTACATATAAGTATAAGTACATTATAAAATCAACATGACAAACTATTACCTATTCTAAATAACTAACTAAAGATAGGTAATAACTTTTATTATTTTCATATCACAGGATATTTTAGAAAATATCGAGTATTAATCAAATTTAATTTACTATTATATACCTAAATACCTAATTTCTATTAACTATATTAACAAATGCCTATATCATTGGTATATCAATATATATTTTTCTTGGTTTCATACATTTCATAAACTCACATTATTAAGTTCAGTTGGATTAATAAACTATTAAATAGTAATCAGTAATCATTACATTTGAGTAAAATTGTACCCAGGTAAAACCTTCCTAACTATGCAAATTCATATTTTTTTTAATCATTACGAACATGCAAAAGTTGAGCACATTGCGTGCATGAAACTAACCGTAATGTAAAAATAATTGTATACAGAGCAATGTCAAAGAGGTGTTGAAATAAAAAAAGGCCTATTCAAAAATGTTGAAGTCGAAACATCTCTCATGATAAGTGAAGACATGTATAATACTACGTCAGTATTGGAATTGTCGTTGTAATAATAAATGTATGAAATCTATAACTGTTTCAGGTGACAGTATTAACAATATGCAATATAATACCTAGTTCTATTGTTCTGAGTTGTGAATATAATTAGGAGTTAAAATCCTTTGCCTTTCGAATTTTAATACATATTCAATTGTAAATTATTTAAATTTTAATAAGTCGGGTTACACGGTTTCAGGTTCTTCTTCCGGTGTAGGTAAATGCATCATATCGAATTTGATCATCAACTATACAGAAAGCCTTTTTAATTGAATCAAGTTTGAAATAGTAGAGCTACGTTAATTTGTAATACAATGCATTGGAATATTGTTTACCTCCCACTCGCTACCCCATGACCCCAAGTGAAATGTTTAACTTTCGCCGGGTAAATAATATTATGAGATGAAAGTAAAAGTTTACGAAAATGTAAGGTGTACCGCAGCAAAGTACAAACAAAACTTCATTAAGCATAAATTTGTTCAACCATATAAAAGACATTCGTAAAATTGCACATTTATCCTTAATTATGTGATTTATATAGCAATTGTTATTTCTATAATACACAATATTTACTCTGAGTTTTCTTAGTTATAACTTATAATTAATAGGTACTAAATAATTATCATAGAACCTACACAAATTAACTTTTTGTAAATTAATGTAATTTATATGCGTTATTATTGAAATTGTCTATGAAATTATGGTTATAAGAGTATAATAGTATATTTTTTATAGGGTTATTATTTTTGTAAATATTGGTTTTAAACACAGGTTATAGCTTATAATATTAGTATATACATTAGGGGTGGTTAGTCGATAGTCACATGTTTAAATAAAAAGGGTATTAAAATGTTCTTATATTCATGGCAAAGTTAGAAAGACTATACAATTACGTTTCCCGATAATTAATGACCGAATGGCTATAATTTCACAATATTAATAATTACTATAGTCGTATAGATAGTTTTAAAATATTTAATTTTTTTTGGTCACGCTATTGGACTAAAAATATAGTTACATTTACTGACGATTAAGACTTTAAAATACACTTTCAGTAATGTTGCATAACTGTACTTATCGACATTCTGTAAACAAACTATGTAACTTTACGTTTATACTGTGTAAACAACTAGCTGATGAACTACCCAATAGGGAATTCGGGGATTATAATTAAATAATTATACAATTGTTTGTATAGAATAATATTTATTTATAATTATTCATTGTGTCTATGATTTCGGTTTTAAAATAAAATACAAGACTAAACTATAAAAAAAAGAGGATAAGTGGTTGTCGCTCTGCTGTACAGTAGGTTACAAGTGGGTCAATGTATAATGGATTGTATTAAACTTGAATTCAATGATATAATGTCATTGTATAAGAAAAACGATTCTGATCGGAGACGGTTTGTCAGCCTGGATATTTTATATTGTTATTATTTATTATAGCCTGTAAGTTGAATTAAATTATAATATTATTATTTTTTATTCGTTTTTTATAATTCTATGGTAATAAACAAAGCGTTATAAATTAAATATCCCGTTTTTAGCGGTTTTTCGTAATTTGTGTGTGGATTTTCCATCAATAGCTATGGAGAAAATCGAAAAATTACCTCTCTAAAATAACATCTTGATCCAATTTTCTAAAAAATAGGATATTATATGTTGAAATCGAAGCACTTTCTGGTAAAAATTTTGTATACAGGATAAAAAAAAAAAATAAATAAACCCCACTGTAAAACCATTAGCTTCCTCGCTCCTCTCAGAATCTAATAGAATTTTATCAAATTTTAAACCATGTTGGTAAATTAATAAATAGTGTTTCTTTTTTTGTGTTGATAAACCAATATAATTTTTTAACTTAATAATAAACAAATCGACGTTTTTAATTCAAATAATAATAATTTACATATTTGAATTATAATTAACAATAATGTACCTACCTATCATTAATATAATAATCAACTTGAATTAATAGCAGAATATAAAGTAACAATTTAAAATTAGGTTTCAAAAAATATGGCATAACATTTTAAATTTCAATGTACCTATACAGTCTGATTTTTCACAGTGCTAGAATTTAACTTGGATAAGAATTTTAAATAATTTTAAAAATTTTCGTCTCAAGATCAACTATTAGAAATGATGATGTAAAATTTAAATAATATACCTAACTATAATTTAGTTTAAAAATTGTACAGGTTTTATGAAATTAAAAGTTTAAAGATAAGGCCAACAATATTTTAAATTCGTTATTCGTTAAACATCTTAATAATTTATTTACATAAGTATAAAATTATTTATGTTAGTTGAAAACATTAAAATAGACATTACAGGACAATACCCAAAAGGTGTATAACATGTATTTGTTGGAGTTTGGAAAACTTGACATTTTGAGAGTGAATAATTCATTTGATTAACAGAGAAGTAACAGACTGTTCAAAGTTTTTAACTAGAATTGGGTTCAAGTTACTTTTATCGCATAATGCTGGAGACTCGTACTTATCTTATGAATAATTGTTTTAATAATCTTAAGATTTCCAATTCAGATTATACATTATTTAAAAATTAGTTTATTAGGGCATTTGTATTAATAATTAAGGACTAATATAATATTATGTATATAATTTACGACTAGTGCCGATTTTATAAAGATATAGGACTAGGTATTTGAGAGAATAACTGAAACGAAAATGTATTATATGTTTATTTGAGATCAATCTTTTTCTACACAGAGCATTTGTGGAGTTAAGTTGTCAGTTATATTATTATACTATATATATATACTATAATATACAAATATACAATATTGAATATGCATATATGAAGAGAATGTTGACGATTTAATGGCAAATTTTATTTACGATTTAGGTGTGTGTGCTAAATATATAATAACTTCAAAACATGATTTCATGATATAGGTATACGTTGATTGATAAGTTAGATGTTAGAACCGAATTCGAAAATCACAGCCATTGAATCTAAAAAGCCTTATATTATAATATGTTATTATATACAAGTTGGGACTAGAAATCCATCAAACAAATTTACATCTTGAAATCTCACCAAGATAATTATTACTCTAAAAATAAAATAATTTTCAAGACCTGTATTTGCACAAATGCACTTTTTATCAACATTACCATTAGATGTAAGAAGAATTATTCTAGATTTAATGCATCGGAACTATGCCTAGACGAACTGATTTTAGAACCGGAACCCTCTGAAAATATTGAAACTAGGACTCAGTAACTCACCAAAGCTCTAATTTTTAAATGTTTTATACACCAAAACCAATAATTCGAGAGTACTGTAAAGATATTGCCCCATCTTAATGGTTTTAATATTTTGATTAGCTAATTTTTTGTATACCTATAAATTATAATAGAATGGGTTAAAATCGATATTATCTAACAAAACATTAAATTTTAATTTTGATGTGAACCGAAACAGTATTTCTTAATTTTTAAGAAATAATAATAATGAATAATTTTATAGGAACTGTTCTGAAACATTAAAAATCATAAGGATTTCAGTATCTGTGGCACTAGTATTTGAAAAAAAATAATATTAATGGTCCTGATATAATATAAGTAGGAAATCAGGGAAATCAGAACAGTGTTTATTGACGACATTTTACTTGAAACGCGATCAAAAATCAAGATTCATAGGTAGGTACGGTACAATGTAAAATTCATATGCAGTGCAACAGTGATGCAGACTATATATAGACTATAGAGTTAGTGCATTTTATGAAAGAAAAAATGATATATTCTTAAAAAAAATTGTTTCATATTTGAGGACAGATAAATTCAAAAATAATGTCACGTTTGGGTTTTCGTCCAAGCTACTATAATAATTTAATATCGATCGTTGGAATAACCAGCTCCACGCGATATTTTTTAAACGTGCCAATTTTTTCTGAAATTTCCTTTTAAAATTTGTCAGTTTAGTTAATGTCACCCAATTTCATGATTACCCCTCCCCCCAAATGTACGTCTAAGTATGCCACTGTATAGGCATATAATAGACGACGGGGCGGTTTCCTGACGATCGAAATCGGGAAAATTATGCATATAACTGCAGACGACGCGGTACATCTTCTTTCCCTTCCTCCGGTTCTCACAACGTCATATTATTATATTTACTTCCACCATCAGCTTACCTGTCCCTGTATGACGAGGTTGCCCTCGTAGTCGACGTTGCGTTCCGAGTTGGCTCCGACCAGCTTGCAGTAGAGTTCGGGGCCCTGCAGGCCCTGGCCACAAGTCGCGGTGGCGGTGATCCGGCGGCCCTCGGCCAAGTTGAAGTACGGTGGCGTCAGCACCTCCGGCCAAACCGGGCGAGCTAGCTGCAGCGCCACTAGGGCCCATAAAACACCGACGGCGATCGCATGCATCGCCGTGCTGTGCGTGGCGACGGACTGCGGTACGTGACGGACGTGACTCGGATAGACGTATTACGTGAACGGACGTGTACTGCGGCCGTATAACATAGTATTATTATTCAATATTGCTCGCGGTGATGCTGCACCGACCGGTACGACGGTGATGATAATAATAATCCGGCACTCATCCCTCGTGCGTACTCCCGATCATTGGAACACATGTCATGGCATGACCGACGCCGACGGCCAGTGGTCCCTAAACTCGACGGCCACTTCCCCCACTCCCCTCCCGCCCCCTCATCATCCTCTTCATCCTCAACCACAACTTCTACAGGCATACTTTATCTCGTAATTGTTCATATAATGCTATAATATAGTATAAAGGTTATGAATATACATAATATGCAAAATAGGAACACATTTCCGTTTCCTAAATTTTCGATAAATCTTTTTCGCTGTCGACTATTTAACTGGTTTAGTGGTTTACTACTGTGCAAAAGGAAATCGATATATATATATATATATTATGTATAATGTATGTATTGAGTAGGTATATTTTATACATTTCCGTAGTAGAAGCTAATCATGTGAAACAAAAACATGTGTGCGGTAAATTCAACTTGGTTTCTCAGTGTAAGGTTCACCCTCCAGATGGTACTATTTGAGAAACACTTGTCCCAAAATACGTCCACTGTAGATTATATTTTACAAACATTTGGTCTCCATATGATCTTCTGGAAAAAACTTATTTTGACTATAATATAGTGAACAGTAAAATTGTCTAATAATCGTTTAAAGAATATTTTAGTTTTACAAACGGCCTATGACCGTATTTCAATAAATTCAAAAAATAAATATATTTTATAACGTATAACAACGCGACTTTTCCAATAAACTGATCTATAATATAATTTAATATGATACTTATATACTATTTGGTTGATACAATTAGTTAGGATAAAAATATCCAACAAGCAATTCAATTTCGATTATACAACAGTATTTTGATAATATTATTATGAAATACCCTGAATCAATTGTTATAATTTGTTACTCCTTTCACTTTTGAGCTACTGAATGAGGGTAGTTATTGTGGTCCAATCTATGTGTTTACAGCTGATCGATATTTCAAGGCTAGTTAGTGTTAGAAAGAGTAAACTGGTCACTATAGTACAATATTTATTATGGATATGCGAAATACTGGTTCCCGAGCAGTATATTGTGTTCCATTCATCTGCAGTCCCTTTCGCGATGCTTTTAACCTTTCTTCCTATACCACCAAAAAGATAATATGGCCTCAATACGGAATATTATTATTATGATTATTATTATTTGTTAGGACCAGATGTTGGAGAGGTGTTCCGAGTGTATTGAAAACAGTTGTCACGTGTTGGAATCCAGTAGCCCAGTATTATATAATGTTCTATACTTCGTCCAAAAATATAAGCCTAAAAATACTCAAGATATATATGCACAATCACAAGGGTTACTCTCAATCTGTTTAATCTTATGAGACTCCGTTTTTTTACAAAGGATTATTATAACATATATTTATAGTTAATGTGTATATTAATATGTATATTAAAACAGTTCCAATCATTTAAAATTAAAATATATTAATATTATTTAAACATTTATATTTACAAATACAACTAGGTATATTAATTATTATACAAATATACTTTGTGAAAAATACAATTAAGTACTTATGTATACTGTATAGAATTGATATTTCACAAGTAATGTGAAAATTGAATGAATAAATATATTATTATTATTAGGTACCTACTAAAATGTATATAATATTCATAAACAAGTAGAAGTATATATATTTTTTTAACACAATTATGTATAGTTAGGATAAACTATAATAAATTATAAAAGAAGGTGAAAAAGTGGTCAGTGTATGTCGCTGTGTGTACACTGGGTCACTGCATCATAGAATAAGTAAAATAAAATTTTATTGACATTTAAAGAAAAAAAAATGGAAACTGAAAATTTCCGTAAACCGTTCAAAACAAATCAAAATATTTTGAAAATTGTATCGTGTATAGAAAACCCTAATATAAACAACCAGTGAAAATGTCATGTGTCTAAGGTAATTTGTTGTACCTATTTATTTTAAAGGATAATACGTTTAACCAAACATATTTATGATAGTAAAATGTAATATGTTCAAATCAACATTAATAACATTTAAGCAACACTCGTGAATAATACCATAATATATAATATATAATATTATACGAAATATAAGAGATGTTGGAATTGTGTAAAAAATAAAATATAAATATGATGTCTAAATAATATCTTATAGTAATAAAGATTTCATTTAACGACATATAGGTAGGTATTGCTGTTCAACTAATTAATTGGTATTTTAAAGTTATAGTAGGAACGCAGATGACAGGTACCAATTTATTTTATTATTGTTTAAATATTGTAGATACGTACTTAATAAACCTACAAATTAAACTTGTTTTTAATACATAATATTTTAAAATACAGGTATTAATTACATTTTAGATTCTGAGTGAACGATGAATCTATTGATTTTACAATGATGTGTGTTTTTTTTAATTTTTTAATTTATTTTTGTGTCTGTGTACAGTGTACACGATAAGTAGTCGAAATAATGCTTCGATTTTCAACTTCAGTATCTTGTTCGATTGGAAAGTGAATCTAGTTGGTGCAATCGGGAAGTCAAATTTTAAAAATCCCAATAGTTTTCACAAGCGCCGGGATAAAAATTAAGGAATAACGGGAATTTTTAAGCAAAATCTGTTTTCCGAAAAATCGATTTTGGTTTTTGGTGTAACTCTAAAACAAATGAACGTATATACATGAAATTTTCACTGGTTATTTATATTTGCATTTTCTATACTCGATAAATTTTTTAAAATATCATGATTTGTTTTGAAATATTTAGGGACATTTTAATTTTCCATTTTTTTTTAGTTTTTATTCTAAAATTATCAATGACATTTTATTTGTTGGTTTCGAAAGCTTGAAAATGTAACAGAAGGCTCCTAGTATATTGTTTCAAAGGCAAATGAAAAATATTAAAAATCCTTAGTCACAATTTTTTTTTATAAGCATTTAAAGTTCAAAAATTGACAAAATATGGAAAAATCACAAAAATTAGCAAATTATTTTGAGTTAAGAATTCGTAAAATTTTTTCTATGAAATATAAGATACCTTAATGATTATCTACCTTTATCAATAAAAAAATCTCTACCGGAAAGTCAAATTAAATTTTTATGAGCGTTTGAAATTCAAATTTTTACAACATTGGATATTCACTCGATTATGATGTAGCGATTTCCTTATTTTGTTGTAATTCAAAAACGAATAACTGTAGATACATGAAAATTTCACTGAATGTTCATATTAGCATTTCCTATACACTGTACAATTTTTAAAATATTTTGACTTTTTTTGAGCTGTTTAAGGACATTTGCAGTAAATAGCAATTGAAAAATACTAAAAATACATAGGCATAATTTTTTTTATAAGCATTTAAAGATCGAATTTTGACAAAATTTATCAAAATCTCGAAAATTATCAATCATTGTAATTAATAAATTATAAAATGTTCAGTTTTCATAGCTAAGGATTGCAAATTTAAAACAAAGGTTCTCATAAATAGTTCATACTGTAACCAAAAAATCTAAAAAATATATGAACACAGTAATTTTTTACAGACATTTTAAATTCAAATTTGGACGAAATTACATAATAAAAAACCTAGAATAACTATTTTAGTTATTTTGTTGTGATTGTATAATACTATTCGTGGGTACTTGAAACTTCTAAAGTATACTACTATATATCTATGATAGTATCACGGTTTTTGTTGGTGTATAACGCGTTATAAGTACCTAATGGATATTGTGATAACTGATATGATTAATTTGGAATTCATTATAGGTTAATTTTTTTTAATACCATAGATAAGTATATAATATGTCTTATACCTAGAAGGACATACAGTCTTCGCTCAGAATCGTTTTTCTTATACAATGATATAATATCATTGAATTCAAATGTAATACCATCCATTATACAGTGACCCACTTGTAACCTACTGTACAGCAGAGCGACACCCACTTGCCCACCTTTTTTTATATTTATAAATGTTTTGTTAACATTTTAAAATAAAGGACATCCATATTTATTTATTTATTTATATTGAATAAATAGTCGCAAAGTATGTTTTTCAAACTTCAACTTTAATATAATTCTGAGTTTTTTTTTATAATAGGTTAGGTTAGATAGGTACAGTGGCGTCCGCAGGATTTTTCAATGGGGGGGGGGGGCTTGAAAATTAGTTACATTTTTATTTTGTCCAGTCTAATAATTTCTGACGTTTATTTGAGGTATTTTAAAATGTTTGTAACTTTTCAACTTTTCTGGTAGAAAAAATGCTCTGAACATAAGCTTCGATGCCCAGTGTATGTTTTTGGAAGCAAATTGGATCTAGTTTGTACTTTTAGGAGGTCGAAATTGAAAATGCCCAGTGCTTTTAAAAATAATTGAAGAAAAAAAAATGAAAATTTATTTAAATGTTTGGTTATACTGTCTTCACTTGGATTGTATTTGAATAATTAAATTTTTTTTTCTATAAATGTCAATAAAAATTATTTATCCGGTCAAAAATCTTAAAAATGTAGTACGTAAGTTATTTTTTTATAGCTAAAATATTAACGATACATAGGCATAGTGTGAAAAAATTTCATGAAATTTAAAAAAATGAAATATTTCAGTATTTTGATATTATTTGTTTTATTTTTAAATAAGTTTTATACTTACAAATAATTGTCATAAATTACCTTCTTAACTGTATGTATACCTAACCTTTGGTATTATACATTTAAAATGGTATTCAACATTTTTAAATATTTTAATGATTAAATGATACAAGTAGGTATACAATATTATTCATGCATATTGTATAAATACTGAATTCTGTCATTAGAATTTAGAACACTGAACATTGTGTTAAAAAAAT